CCGGATGGCAGGCGATTTCTGGGCATGCTCGATAGGCACACCGGAAACAGTAAAAAAAGGCTTCCTTGCCGCAGATGTTAAGTTTCAGGAAACGAAGCCGCTGTCTTAAGGAAACTGCTGAGGGCTGCAGATTTAAGCTAACCTCACGATGCCAGAAAATTGGAATAAAATTTAAATAAAATAGATCCTCCTCCTCCTCCTTCTCTCCAATCAAAGAAAACACAAGGCTTAATTTGGGGTTGGAACTCGGACCACAACCTGTCCTGGCACGTGCTGAGAGGGATTTTTTAAAAAAATGCCTCTGGGCATATGCAAAGTACAGCTGCTTCTGCCTTGAGTAAATAAGATCAAGAAGGGGGGGGGGGAAATGGAGGAGGAGGAGGAAGAGAATACTTTCCCTAAATAAGAGTTTTCATTGATTGAGGCGGCAAACAAAGGGGTGCATCGAGGCTGGGCAGTGGTCCTCCCCCGCAGAACTCCGTCGTAACCATGGCCACCAAGCCCGCTCCTCCTACCGGCCATTGTTAACCCTCTCCCCGCCCTCGTCAGCTCCACTCCGGTCGCTCCCTCGCTGGAAGAAGCGATGGATCCGGGCCGGCTCTTGCTGGAGGCGGCGAACTGGAGCACCATCGCGGCGTGCCTGGTGCTCAAGTTGCCCCAGGGAGCCGCCTTGGTGGCCGCCAGATCCGCCCGAGGAGTCAGCCTGGAAAGTTTATTGCTGGAGCTCGGCGGGTAAGGACGGACTTCTCCGCCAAACTGCCCAGCGGCGGCAGCAGCAGCAGCACCAGCAGCAGCAACCAACAACCTCCGCGCTCTTCCTCCCGCCTGCCCGGTCTTTGGGAAGGGGAAGGCTTCTTTTCTCGGTGTCCACGGAGGAGTTGAGACCCGCGGAGGGAATTGCGGGTCGGCAATTCTTCCCCGCGAGTCACTTCCCTGCTTGGAGCCTGTGGCTATTTTTTGCTGGTCTTCTGAACCTTTGCTGGTCTTCTGAACCTGCCCCGCGGGCAAAGATACACCCATCTCGAGTCAGCTTCGGGTGCGGATGCATAACGTACCCTGGAAGGAAGACGTTGGCAAGCTCTGGCCGTCGTTCTTCGAAGAGGAGAGCCGGGCGGAGGGCCTGGGACACGAGGTGTCTTCTGGGACTCCCCGGGCGCCTCATCTGGCCGTTTGTTTTTTTTCCGTTCTTGCTTTGGCCGCTTTGCCTGGTTTCGTCTTCCCACAAGCGCTGCTGCTTCCCTTTCTTTCCGGGCGCCACTTCAAGCCACAGCTGCCCTGCCCTTTTCTCTGGCTTGCTTGAGTTTGGCTTCGTCGTTGAACCCGAGTGCGTTGTAGGCCTCTAAAGAGGAGGAGAAACTGGCAAAACAATCATTCGATTGGATTGTAAAGCCAAAGAAAAGAAATGTGCAGCAACTGCAACCAGGCTGATATCTAGTTCAGCCCTCGGTTGCCTCCCTGAAACGAGGAGGCACTTAGAGAAGCTAAGATTGGACTCAAAATTCAGCCCCAAGCCCCTCCCTAGTTCATAAAATAAATACAATAAAAAGTAATCTCATGACTGCATTTCCCTTATGATGCCAAGTAACTTTCCTATCTCAGATACTTGAGGTTCCAGGCCAAAGCACTGTGAGTTCCCACATTGAAGTTCTTAGGAAACGAGCGTCTTTCTTTTCTTTAGAAGTGGACTTTGCAACTTTTCCCAATCCGGTGTTGTTCAAGCGTGTCAACCTCTTTCTCTATTTCTCCAGCCTAAGTAAGGTTGCTTTTCAGACTGTTTACCTGGACAGCCACTTCTTTGGAATGGTATAGGGCAGGGGTGTCAAACTGCTGGCCCGCAGGCCAGTTGCATCATGCAATGTGAAAAAAGTCACGATACATCGCAACACATCATGTGATGTGGCGAGTTTGACACCCGTGGTATAGGGTCTCCTGCTTGAGCAGAGGGTTGGACTAGAAGACCTCCAATGCCCCTTCCAACTCTGTTATTCCGTTATTCTGTAAGACGGTTGCACTTCATGGATAGTTGTAGTGAAGCTTCCCCCATGGAAGTGAAGAATTACATTTTATTGGGCTAATAGTGATAGTTCTGCAATTCCTAAGTGCCTTTATCAATACCTATCTATAAAGAAGCAAAGTGGGTTCTTGAGGCAGACAGTTGTGGCCAGAGAGCCTGTTCCTTTCATTAAAAATGATTTTTTATTCTGTCTTCTTTGTTCCTTGCAGTTTTATAGCAATATTGTTACATGCTTGTGAGTCAGTGGCTCTGGGGGACTGGCAGTCAGAGAAGCTTTTAATTTTTTGTATGCCACTTCGTTTGGGGACAGTTGGCTCCTTACATTCTGATTTGAACAAGAAAAATCGTCATTTTTCTGATCTCTTCCTTGCACACTTTACCAACTCAGCCAGTGTCCGCCAAATGGTTGGTAAATAAGCTTTATCTCCCTTGTCCTGTGAATGCCAGATACCTTGCATTACATCTCCCATAATTCTCAGCCAGTTTTATTATTGGCCTTGCTAGTTGAAAATTCTGTATATCCTGAGGATACTGGGTCGAAAAAGGCTAGTTACTACTTTTCATATGCAGATGACACCTTTGCCTCGTCCTTAAGTGTTCTATGACATCCCTATCTTTGGCTTCCATAACTTGGACATCGATATCTGCAGCAAGGAAACTTACATGCAGGTAGTTCTTAACATATGACCATAATGCAGCCTGCACATTATTGTTGTTAAGTTGTGATGGTAAAGTGGCTCATCACATGACCCACCTGATTTTATGACCTTTTAATTGCAGCAGTTGTCATTTTAGTTATAGGAATTTTTGCCAAAAACTAGAAGTTAAACACCGGGTTTCAGCAAAAACATAAAAAATGGTCAGATGATTGCAGGATATTGCAGATGGCCATAAATGCAGGAAAGTTATGTGGTTTGAGTTATGCATAATGAGATGCAAAGCTGATAAGATATTTTGGGTCCAGTGTGACCACTCATGTCCTCATTGGCACTCGTGGAAAACTACTTCTGGTCTCACATACGAACTCTGCAGCTCATGAAAGCATGCATTTGATATAAGGTGACAATGATTCTGTAAGGTAAGATTCAAACAGGCATTTTCCCAAGTCTATGTTAGGTATTGTGCAGCTTCTTTAGGCACGGCAAGGGTTCTTCATAAGATAATGAAATATTTTCTCCTGTTTCATATCCAAGTTCTGCATGCCTCTGTTACGTGGTATTGAAAGCAAGGTTGGCACAAAATAGGTTTTCTTCCTTTAAATTATATGGAACAGCCTTGTCTTGGAACTCTACTCCTCCGGCATATTTGGTGGGAATTCGGGGAATTGAACATCTGGAATTCTAGAGCTGTATCAGAATAGTGAAGAGCTTCTACCAGAATCAACATAGAATGGGATCCAGATGAAGATTCCAATTTTCTTTGAAAAGTTTCTTGAACAGAGGTATTCTAGTATTGAAATGGGTAGGATAGCATTCTTGAGAGATTAATGCCACTAATGTTTATGCTTTGTTTTCAATATTTCCTGAGTTGATATTTTAAACAAGTGTTCCCTTTCGAAAGCTGTATTCCCAGGGCAGGCTGTACTTACATACAAGTGGGGAAATTCTCTGAGACTTTTCTCACAAGATCAAAAACTACTGTATCCCAAAGCTGCATATATTTCCAAGGGCATTTGAACTATTCCCAGTCCAGGAGAAACCTCCCCCCACAAAAACTATTTTTTGACAGGAAACCAGGCTTTCTTGTTATTTGTGAACTAAATCCCAAGTGTAAACTTAGAACCTTACAGAGGTTTGAATTCCTCTCCATGTGTTTTGTATAAAATGTACAGCTTCCTTCCAAACATGGCACTGATTCCAAATGTGAAATCCAGCTGCCTCTCCTTTCTTGGCTCCTATTGTTTCCTGTTTTACATGGCCATAATATCACAGTTAGTAAAACTCACAATTTGGCATAATTAGCCAATCTCAGCAGTGTATCAGGGTAAGATTCCAGGCGCTATAAATGCTGTGTCCCTGGCTTTTATTTGACAGCTCTTGGCCTGCTTTCTTTTCTGTCTCCTGCCTTATTTTAAATGTTTAATGTTTTTAAATTTTATTATTTTAATTGTAAACCACCGAGAGTTGCTGTTCAGAGCGAGATAGGTGGCATATGAATTTAATAAATAAATAAATACAATACTTCTTGGTTGCCCTGGGAAGATCAAATTCTGCCTTTATGCCTTGTTTTGGAGGTGCCTTTAAAATCATTGGCTTGGTCTGAATGTCACGATAAATTGTTTAAAACTTGAGGAATTATTTGATGTGAAATTAGGCACGTGCAGAAACAGAAAGAGCAATAAAGCTTGCTCTCAGATTACTGGGTTGGATGGTTATGTCTGAATTGACCCCACTGATTGAAGTTACACTTTTTTCCCCCCAGTTTCCTTGTTTGCTTGAGATACATGAGTTACTACCGTTATCCTCAACTAACATATGTAGAATATCCCATCATGATTGTGCAAGGTAGGATTTGTTCCTCATTTATTATTCCACCATTCTTTTGTTTTTCTCAATCATGCAGTAATGAACTTTGTTTTGTTTTCTTTCAGATATCATTCTTTGCCTGCTTGTTCTGCATTTCAATGGCAAAATGAAGCATGCTTTGCCTTACACTGTCATGTATCCTTCACTTATGGATTTGTTCTTTTCCATTTATACAGCATTTCCGGCAGTTTTTTCTACATTCCATATTTAGAATAAGCCTTCCTCCATGTTTCTTGTTTGAGGTTCACATGTTCAAACATTTTTTAATGGATTAATGTGCTTCATTGGCAATTGAAGCTTCTTTAATGGGGTAGAAGGGCTTTGTGAGAAATGTTCAAGTGTAGCAGAGTGGGCCTGCTTTTAATTCAGGGATAGAAGAAGTGGCTCTGCCAAGTTATTGGGCTATAAAATCTGCTATTAATGTTAATTGTTGGGCATTCAGGCTGGGACTGGTGGATCTTGGAGTCCAAAACTTCTAAAGAAGTTTGTATAGGTGAATATGTATGTGATATTTTACATAACTTACAGTAGTGGCCAAAATTGTGGAAACCTTTTGGGAAAAGTGTACAGTAGAAATGCCACCTTTGATTAAGTTTCCACCATTTTTTCTTCTAATTTCTTTATAACTGTAGCCTTGTTCACTTAATAGTACTATTTTACATCGCTTTCTGGGCAACCAGTCAACTCTTTGCACCATTACTTTAATTTTATTACGTTTCACAAGCTCACTAAATGAAAGAACACAAAAAACCCAACCAACTTGATAGCGATCACATATCACACTGACAAACGTCCTCCTCTCAGCTTCAATACATGACATCAATAACTGAATCCTACTGTGATCTGATTGGCTCATTGCCAAAACAAGATGAAACCTGATTGGCTCGCTAAACACTCATGCTCATTGGCTACAATCAGATGAAGGAAAGCTACCTGATATCGACCGAAGCAAGTTGTGCTTCCTTTTTCTGGTTATTTGGCTATAACTTTTCATAGAATACATTATAGATAATTGAACAAACTTTGTTGCGTTACATTCTTGATTAAATTATCTTTCCATTGATACATAATTTTATGGTACTACTCCAAAAAAAAGTGGTGTTATTAGCCATCAAACCTCAAAAATACACTTTTCCCAAAAGGTTTCCACAATTTTGGCCACTACTGTACTTGGGGTCACGCTTTTATAGGAAATTTTTATTCATTGGATTCTGAAATGAAACATTTTTTTTTCATTTTGCAGTTAGGATGCATGAGATCATAAAGACATTTCCCAAGTATCACCAGGGCCATTGCACAATAGTTTCTTAAGTGGATCTGGCTAACAATGCAGCCTGTGGGTTAGAAATTTGGGGATCTGAGTATGGGATGTGAAGTGAAAGCTAATATAAGTCCATCTCTGCAAAATGTGTGCAATGGGGCTATAGTGCTTTGGATTCAGATCCTTCACTACAAGTAGGGGCATGAGCGTAGCATTTGTCTGCAACTCTTTAAAGCAGCTACATCTTTTCCCAGGAGCAGGATGCAGCTGCATAAGCAGCCTTGGAACTCTGGGGAACAAACACAGATGCTTCATTTGAGGCAAACACAGATGCTTCATTTGTACACTCTGAAATCCTCCCCTGATCTCTTTCCGAACTGCTTCACAATCTTCATTTGTAATACACACTTGGATTTGCTAACCTACAGAGAGCTTTCCTGGGGATCCTGAGGGGCAGGACGATGCCGTTTTGCTGAACACACAAAGAAAAAGCAAATGGTTAATAATTCTAGACTTATTAATTCAGTCATCTGCTCTTGATGAATAATTTAATGTAAGTGGATGTGAAGGTTAAAGATAATTGAAATCAGTGGTATATCCAAAGGATTGCAAATAAGGAAAGGAGGAGAGCGCTGTAAAGTGACTGCATCAATTAAAATCAGATTTACAAGCGTCCTTTTCACCTGCACCTATATTATGTATCTTAACCTGAAAGGTTAGATTTGTAGCAGGATGGTATGCTATAACTCTGCAAGAATGGATATTGGACTTGAGTATGGTAAGGAGTTGAAAGAACGGGCTTATATAATTAGTCATTCTAGATGTTGCGGTTTATAATGGGAAGCCACCATAAAATGTGTCGGGCAGGAACTTCACGGAAATGAAGAGTCAGAAGCTCATTGTTTATCTTCTGCTTTCCTTCACTTGAGTTAAGATGCATCATTACATGTGATGTGGCGTAGCCGTTGAAATCGAGTTCCTCTACATTTTGTGTTGGTTGGAAAGATATTGCTCTTTATGCCAGCATGGGTCTCTGCAAGGGGGCAAAGAGGGGGGGGCAAGTGACATCATGTAGGTTTGGGACCCCAGTATATGCCGTGCTTACAAAATAGCTTGCTACTTCAAGCTCGAGAGACCATAACAAAGAGAGCATCTAATTGTTTCCTTTAGTAATTTTGGTTTTCAATAAAGTTTAGAAATGTTTTATGGGTACACTAGTCAATATACAGTATATGCCTTGAAACACATTAGTATTTGCTTGCGTTGTTGGAAAGCCAGGCAGGTCAAAGTAGTCTAAAAACATGGAAATTTGGGAACCATAAGATGAATTAGGATAGAAATTGTATCAGAAAATTCAAGTTTGTCTCGCTCTTAGCTTTGGGAAGAAATAAATGTTAACATGATCACTTGACCTTCGGAGTGATCACGCACTACTTCACTACACTGTTGATCAGCATGACTATTAATGAAGGCCATATCTTACGATACCGTAGGGCAGACATCCTTCTGTGGGCTGGGCTGGGTATTTTTGCATGAGCCAAAGGGGGGAAGTGATACAAAACGGTGAGGATAGGAATGTTTTTTCCTGAATTGGGAGAAAAGTTCTTTTAAAAAATAAAACTATGTCAAGTTTTATTTTATTATTTTATTTTAATTTTATTATTTTATGTATCTAAAGTAGTTGCCACCAATTTTGGCCAGTTATAGCTCTAATGGTGACTGGCATGCCCAGTGTAGTCCTAGGGTCTCAAGTTCTCCATCCCTGGGGCAGTAGAACACTAGCCTGCATCAGCTCATCAGTGTTAGCTAAGTTCCTGGCTGACTAAATGGTAGCCTAGGCCAACATAGTTTGGCCCAGTTTAGGACCACCTGGTATCATGACAACTCCATACATCTTGACTTCTTATCAGCCCTTTTCTTTATGTTGGGTCTGAAGTATGTCTCTAGGTATTAGGTGAGAAATAAGATGCTTCCCATTTCTACAGTATTTGCTGCTTCTGCCATCAGATGCAAATTTCTAGAAAGGGACTGCAGTTGCTGTGGGTTTCTGTTTTTGAGCCACTGATTTTAGTTGCTGTTTTTACTGTTGCTTTTTTTTTCAATTGTCTTGTCACTTGTATTATGTATACCGCCTTGGAAGAGCCCCCAATTAAACAGGATCTACAATAAAATATGTTTGTTTAACCATGATTTGTTAACTAAGCCATGGTAGGTGGATTATACAATAGCCTTAAGTCAAACAAATCTCAGTATGGCTTAACCTAACTTGCAAAGGAATTACATAATGTATCAGTGCAGACCCAAGCATTAAATGTCATCTTCATTAACTGGCAGCAGCTTTGTTGGATCTGAAGCCGAATCTGCCCTTTGGGTCCTGGGACATGAAATCTTTTTTTAAATAGGCAACATCAGTGATTCAGTATCTGCTTACAAAAAGAACTGAGTGATGGACACTTCCCACCTTTCAATGCGATCTTTGCTTCAACAGTTGCATTCCTGTTCCCTCTCTGTAGATCTTGAGCACAGTGGTCAGTGCAGCAAGTAAACTTGCTCAGCTCCGGTGTCTTTGGCAGACGAGAGATTCTGAACAAGTGAGTGCCACAACTTGGGGATTAGCCACATACACCTGTGCAGGTAAGTGATATCTATCCTACCAACATGTTTGTGGAATTTCTCAGCATATTTTTTTCCTCCCTTCGTTTCAATTGTGTCTAATTCTCGGAGACTACCTGAACTTTTTTTTAAAAAATGATTTGCCATTTTGTCAAGATATTTTCCAAAGCGCCTGAAGGCAGGACAAGAAGCAACGGGTGGAAACTAACCAAAGAGAGAAGCAACCTAGAACTAAGGAGAAACTTCCTGACAGTTAGAACAATTAACCAGTGGAACAACCTGCCTCCAGAAGCGGTGAATGCGCCAACACTGGAAGTTTTTAAGAAGAAACTGGACAGCCATTTGTCCGAAATGGTATAGGGTTTCCTGCCTGAGCAGGGGGTTGGACTAGATGACCTCCAAGGTCTCTTCCAACTTTATCATTATTATTATTATTATTATTTTTCTAGGTCTGAGGAAAAAGTGGCTGGCCCAACATCACCCAGTTGGGTTTGTGCCTCAGCTAGGACTAGAACTCCTGACCTTTTGTGTGTAGCCTGATGCCTTAACCACTACACCAAATAAAATGAAATTTAAAATTATTGGAAGAATTTAAAAGTTAACTTGTATGAACTACTGTTAAATGCAGTTTGCTGAAATAAGGCTTTGAGTCTTCTAAAAATTGCTGATAAAACAAAAACAAGTGCTTGAAAGATGCTGTTCTTGGTTGAAAGATAATCTTTTGGGAGGATCAGGTGAATGCATACCAAAAGAAAAAAAAATGGAAGATTTCAGGCAGATGCTTGACAAGATTTCTTCACCGGGCATGATAATAATTCTGCATATGTTGTTTGCCAGGATTGAAAGGGAATGGAAATGAATTGTCAGCTAAAATATAAAACTGATTTATTTAAAATCTGCTAATTTTCATTCTTTCTCTCCCAAATAAAGCAAGAATATTTACAACGTTGATGACTACAAAGGATTCTACAGGTAATGTCACATTATTATTGGGGAGCCTTTTAGCAGAGATTCTAAACATTCTGCAGAAAAAGTGCAAATGTAGAGGAAGGTAAAGATAACATTGGCAAAGAACGCAAGAACTGTTAGCAGTCAGCAGTGTCTCGGCTCTGGGAAAAGTGCGTGCCTAAGACTCAAAGTAACCCTGCTTTGATCTTCTATCGGACAAGAGGATTTAGGTTCTGTTATTTATACTGTATAACAGGGGTAGGCAACCTTGGCTGTTTTATGACTTGTGGACTTCAACTCCCAGAATTCCTGGGCCAGCCATGCTGGCTCAGGAATTCTGGGAGTTGAAGTCCACGAGTCATAAAACAGCCAAGGTTGCCTACCCCTGCTCTTATAACAATAAAATACTAGTACAGATAGTCCCAGATTAATGACCACTTCTTCACCCATTGAAATTATCAATGGCGCGGAACACATGGTAATTCCCACTGGTCCTTGAAGTTTCAGCCATTCCAGCACCCCCACACAGTCACAGTCACATGATCTCAATCTGGGCACTTGGCAAATGCCCCATCGAGGCAGAAAGGATTTCTTTACCTATATGTGCTGAAATGATGATATAGTTTTATGAGAGCTGACTTTAAATACTGCGATTGTGAGGGATTCTGTATAAGTCACACAAGATTCTACATTAGATGTGGGAATTCCTCTTATAATTTAGAGCATTATAAACTGTACATACATATGAGGAAGGTGTTGTAACAGAATCCTGAAAACCTGTCAGAAATTCTCTCTACTTCCACTTACACCTAGTCCAGGGGTAGGCAACCTTGGCTCTTTTATGACTCGTGGACTTCAACTCCCAGAATTCATGGCTGGCTCAGGAATTCTGGGAGTTGAAGTCCACGAGTCATAAAAGAGCCAAGGTTGCCTACCCCTGAATCGCAATGTTATTTTGAATTTCTTTCTACTTCCCCCGGACTCAAAATTTATCTTTCTTTGTGATGGTTTAACATTGCACTTCCCCTTTTCTAAGTCAAATTCATATTCCCACGGCATTAAAAGGTTTGGGGTGCAGAAACTCATTTCTAAGAACAGACTTCACTTGACTGAAGGACTTGTTTTCAGTTTGTGACTGCTCTTGTGCCCTTCTTGAAGCCCAAAGTTAAGTAGGACTGAAAGTTTTTTTCATTTGTGGAGCTTCAGAGGCACAAGAAGAAATTCAATTTATTCTATGAACCACCTCAAAATGTCACTTTTTTCAAAGGAACCCTGGAAGCTACAAATTCGGAGTTTGAAAGGAGTCGGGGGGGGAGGAACAACATGATGCGTTGGGATGAGGAGAAGGGTTCAGGAGTTTTTCTTCTACTAGCATGGATATTGTGCTATTAGTTTGAAAGCTATTGAAGCTATTTCCTAAATTTAAAATTGATTTAGCTTGCATGTTTTATTTTAAGATATGTAATTGCTAATGAGTATTCTTCCCTCCTCTTCCTAGTTCTGATCCGTTTTGTAGTCATGATGGCTCTTAATGTTTGGGTCATCGCTACTATATTGGAATACCGAAAGGCTAAGAAGCAAGATTAAGATGCAGATCCTGCTCCTTTTTAAATGACATGGATTAAAATGAGACATTCCATTAAATGAGAGCTAATGTTTACATACTGTACATGTACCTAACATTCAGTGCCCACATTTCAATTACATTGTGATGGTTATACTTATTGTTTTTTAAAAAAAAAATAATTAGATGAATGAAGTCTTTCATTTTATATGAGCAGATTGCATAACAGACTTCTACAACTGGTTGAGTCTTATTTGTTGGTTATCTCCATGGACAGTCCTACCCTTCTAGTGTGTACACACACCTCAGTAGGACCAACAATAGTTCAAGCCAACAAAAAACTAATGTTTTATATTGAATTGCTGGTTTTT